CTTGCAGGTCATGTCCCAGCTGCTTTTACTCTGCCCTTTTGGGCAAAAAAGAGACGGGGGAACTGTGTAGATGACCCAACATTCACCCAGAGAACTTAAACGAGTGGCAGCAGCTTTCCCTCTCTCACCTTACACTCAGGCATAAACCTACAAAGGTATCTGAGCCACCAGCTCCCGTGGAAGTAAGAGCCACCAACATGGAGCTCCTGACGACCTCTGTGGATCTGCGCCTTCATGCTATGTAAAGCGATTTGAGAACTGGACGTGTGACTTCTCTGGCTGACCAAGGTGGCAGAGGAAGTTGATTTTTCCAGTATCTTGCTTTTTGAGATCGACGCTATTTTGCCTATTTATTTTACAGAACAGCAGGTGGTACAGACCGCCGAAGCTTGCCAACTTAAGTAAGACGGGAAATTCTGCTGTAGCCTAAACATCTGCGAGAACATACCCCAGCACCACCTCCGTGCCCGCAGTGTTTATATGCCGCAACAGGAGAACAGGCTCAGCTGGCTGAGATGCATTCAGTGCCTCCCAATTGCTGCCCTGAGCTTGGTTTTCCATCCTGTGGATTTGCTGCGCTTGAGAACAGCGATAGCATTTTAGCCACTTTTTTTTTTCTCCCTTTGAAACAGCCACTGCAATTTAAGGGCCCTGCCATTCCAAGAGGGGTCACGAGACTGCTGGGGGAGAAAAGTGCAGAGCAGCTCAGGCCACACCGACCTCCTGAACGTGCCGTGACTGCGTTTGACAGTAAATCAGTGGGATCTCATCGCCTGGTCTCCAACTCTGGCAATAAAACACAGATTCAGCTCTGGACAGACTGGAGCTCTTCTAGAGTCTGGGAAGTAGTTCTTGCATGACCACGCACCACAACTAGAAACCAAGCAGAGTCTTCAGGGGAATACGAAAAAGCTTCAGAAGGAACCTGTGAAATAAACAGCAACCAGACAATTGTCTTCTACAGAAGATGGAAGTGACGGCAGAAGAATACAGCAACATCTTAACCCGTCAGTGAGTCAGTCTGAATGTACAGGGGCACTAGATCCCTACGGGTCTGTGAGAAAAGCTAATGGCCAAAACCAGCTGGTCCCCTCCAGCCCCAAAGGGAGACTGGGTCACGATTCACTCTTCACCAGCTGGAAGATTGTCTTCGATCCGCCTGATGAACTTCATTCTTATCTCCGTGACGCTGTCACCCTTCAGTGTGTCCTGGACAAACTTTACATCTACAGCCATCTGTACCTGGGCGATGGGAGAGGAAAGAAGAGCCGTTATCTTCCTTATCAGACGTGTTATTTTTCAAGATCACATCCTCCTTGCACACCGTGGCCCGCACGGCGGCCAGCAGGCACCTTACCGGCGCAGCAGTTCCTCCCACAGCGTAACCAGGGCTCCCTGCAGGGATCACAGCCCAACCACTCCATTGCTCAGGGCTACGCAACCTGCTGCGCCATGTATATTCCTCAAAAGTCTCAGCTAAGCAAGGTAACCAAGCCTACATACAGACGCTTCAATGTGAGACACAGCTGTCCTTCCGTTCCAGCCAACTCCCACCCCGGCTCGGAGCCACTAGAAAGTGAGGATTTTGAAGTGTTGTAAGAACTCAAGGAGATGCGGGTGCTTGTGCCTGGGTCATTAGATGAAGGGGCTTGGTCAGCACCTCTGGCACTCAAGGCTGCAAACAGAACGGCAGCCGAGCTCCCCGGTACCTCTGCTCTTCTCCCGCGAATGAATTTCAAGCCCAAATCAAACACAGACGTCAATGGACACAGACATGGAAGCACCCTGGTTATTCGTGTCTCTGTCTCCCTGGCAGGGAGATGCTGGCTCACCATTTCCAGGGCACCTCGCAGCACTCCGCACAGCAAGTTGGAATAGATGAGAGAGGAGTGGTTGTCGGGGAGCTCAACGAAGTCCACCAGGGGATTATTTTCCAAGATCAGGGAGAACTCGTCGCCTCCAGGACTCCAGTTGGTGATGCTCGGAGTGATGCCCAGGTACATTTTAAATGCTATCTGTTACGTCAGAGTGCAAACAAGAACACGTCCCATGAAGCAACAGCACAGCTTTGATCTTTGTAAAGCTATTAAAGGGTTCTGAAAACACCGCTCCTCTTTTCCCAGTTCCCACCAGGCACCAGTAGTCAGGGATCTAAATCTTTTTCCTCCCCAGAATCTCAGTCGAGCTCTCAGAACAGACCTGTGAGCAGCAAATACTCTATCCTCACGTGCAAAACCATGACAAAACCTGACACAGTTGTGCTTTGACAATTACCTTTGCGATCACATCTGCAGTCTCGCGGAAATCGTGGCATCTTCCAACATTGGACCGGGCCAGAAAGTCTTCTATTAGCCGAACACCGATGTTGTAACCCCTGTGGATGCACCAAAGAGCAACAGCTACAGAGCGGGACGCGCACAGCTTTAGAAAGACAACACACATTTATAAGAGAAGACAGCAGAGGTAAAAAAAAAATACATCTGAGAAATATCAGTGTTAAATAAAATCCAGTCTGCCAGGCCTTTGCTCACGGAGCAGCACCCAGAGACGTGCCCACTGCACCACCGAGCTCCTACAAGGCTCCACCACAGCAGATCCACTCACATCTTGTCAAGCTGCTTGTTGACGTCCTCATCGTTCTCATAGTCCTTGCACAGCTGGGTGACCAGAGCACCGTACGTCAGCGTGAAGAGCTCCGAGTTCTAGACAGAAGCAAAAGGATTTAACATAAGGCGAAGAGAAAACTCCCTGAGCACTGCTGCGTCTGTGTCCAGTGCTGCTTCCCATGGCCTGGGGAGGGGGAGCAGAAACCTGCTGTCCCAAAGGAATTTGCTGCTTAAGGAGAGATCCCTGTTCATAGTTTGGCAACTTCAGTCTCCCTGGAAAGAGAAATCGTCTTTGACTGGGAACGACCAAGCACTTTCTCTCTCTCCCTCTCCCTCTCCACGCACACAGAGTGGCCTGAAGAGGCAACGGGAGGCTGCTCAGCTCTGCGGCTGCTCTTAGAACTGCTCCTCAGCTGCTAATTAGCACCTCGCTGCTCTAATGAGCACAGCCCCAGGTAACTGGAAGGACACTTCCAGGGCATTTCGTGTGCTGCCACCAACTCCTGGATGGTTAAACTTGCACTCCGTCCCAAGGCCCTGACTATTTCAGCCCCTGACCTGGGGTGTGAACAGGCTCAGCCTGCTCTGTCTCTCACAGATGAGCTGCAAATGGGCAACACTCCCCCGGCTCCATTTCTGGTCCTTTAACAGGACAAAAAGCGCTCATCCATTCACAGATTTACTACATCCCGTGACCAAGGAAAAGCAAGACTCTGGTCCCTAGAGTTATCTAGGAAGATAACTTGCTTCATACGTTAAAATCAGCTTCTCAGACCCAGAAGAGGAAGAGCAAGGACAATTTCAGGTCAGCTCAGCAGATCTGGGCTGTGCACATCCACATCTGCTGCCTGGCTCGGGGTCACAGTCCCTTGGGCTTTCTCTGCAGTTGCTAGATTTGCAGAAAACAGCACAGGAAAAGGTCTCCTCTCCTGGCCACCATCATCACCATCCTCAACCTGAAGCAACTTTGTCAAAGTGCATTTTCTTGGGAGCCATTAAGCCACACCAGGGATTAACAGGGTCATCAAAGCCTACAAATCAAAAGCTACACCAGGCCTTAGCTTTTCACAGAACCTGAAAGAAATGGTTTTAGGAACAAAACAACGACCACAGTTAATTTCTGCTTTCAGTTTTAGTATTCAGAAACAGTACAGAGCCCAATCTCGGATTAAAAGCCTACCATCACCTACCATGAGCTGCACAGATGCAGAAGGTGAAATGAATGGCAAATACCAATACTACAGAATGAAAGCAGCAGGCAGGCAGAGAGGGAGGGAAAAGAGACAACATCAGAGTTAAGTGACAACACAGATCATCACCGCACTTCATTCCCCACGAGTTTACAGACAGCCAAGACAAACACAAGGAGGAATCACTCCCAAACGGAACATTCAACACAGACAAGTCGGGGCTGTTAGAAGACAGAGGGAATTCCACCTCGTGCTGTCACTCAGGTCAGCAGCAATCAGCTGCTTTTAGCTGGGACAAGGAGCAGTCAGGCTCCTCCTCGGTGCTTTGGCCCAATTTCAGACATAAGAACTGACACATTCTTTGGGTGGTTTTTTACTCACAATTCTGCTTTCATCTCGGAGAGACAAAGGTTGCACAAGTTCATATCACTCAAGAGCAAAGACGAGGGGGAAGTCTCCTTCAGCTCAGCTGGCAGTCAGGCATTTGGCAGGGAATTTAACAAACATGCAAGAAAGGTTACGCTATTTTTAAGGGTTTCAGTAATTTTAGTAAAGACAGAGCTTGGCAGCTGGAGAGAGCAGGGGGTGAATGGATGGAGGAAATCCAGCTGTTGCCAGTCCAAGATGTTGTCATTTACTGCGTAAAGCCATGAAGCCGTCCCTGTTATCAGCCCCCGAGTGTGCGAACGCGGAGCTCGGATGGTCACCGCCTCCAGCGCTGCGGTTCAGGTTAACTTTAAAGTGTTGTAACAAGGGAAATGTCTATGTTGGTATTTGTAAACAAGCTCTTGCTTTTCAGTCCAGCTAATGGAATTAAAGGCCTGATAATTTTAGCATTATTCATACTTTTTCACAGTGCAGACCAGTGTACAGTCTCAACACCACGTAACCGTTCTGCAGCTACAAAAATTACGGGATCCTAACGGAGCAACGCCGACTCCTTAAATAAAACCGGCTGTATTTAAGTTGAATCCCTTGAAGAGAATCCCTCATGGTGCGGAGTGGGGCGGCTGCCCGGCCCCCACTGAGCCTGAATCAGCCCATCAAAATGGCAAAAAAGGGAGTAAAAAGTAGGGTTTTATTTTTCTTACTTGCTTGCAAATAGTGCCATGGTCTGGTGGTGGACGCGGCATTGTTGGGGGAACAGTTAAGGCTTTTCCAACCTAAGCGAGTCTACGATTGCATCAAAATTTAATTAATCTGGTCTGCTCTGACCCAGAATTGGACCTCTGCTCTCCACCGCTCATTTCTCGGCTCAGCGGGACTGGTAACACGGAATCGGGTTAGACAGCAGCGAGAGAAGCGTTTGCGGTCCGGCAGCCGGGCCTCGGCGAGCACAGCCCGGCGGGACGGAAGCTCCCCCGAGCCCTGGCCGCGGCTGTCCGCT